ATTTATTCAAAAATATATATCGATTTAACTACAGAGACTAAAATTATATATATATATATATATATATATATATATATATATATATATATATATATATATATATATATATATATATATATATATATATATATATATATATATATATATATATATATATATAAAGGAGATATATTAAACTCAATCATTTTATTGAAGATTATGTGCCGTTGTACATCTTGCACATTCACAGAACCAGCTCGGAAAGAACTCGACAGTAAAGACAAAAATAAACATTTTTAATGATGACTATGTTTGTTTAAGTTAATGTATAAAGAAACAAAACATTATCTGAAAATTCTATTTTAAAAATACAAGTCCTTTTGTAGTACAATAAATACAAATATCTTAAACAATATCTTTGATGTAAATATTAGGAGGTATTTGTGGTGTAGTTTGACCAGTTTTAAAATAAAATATCATTTGAATTGTATGAGAAAAACACACGGTTCAATTTAGTTTAGTTATTTTTAAAAATAAATTCGAACCAAACTAAATCAAATAAATATAGTTTGGATTAATTTGGTTGGTTCGGTTTTTTACAAAAAAATTATTAAGTCATACATATACATATAGAGGAAAATATAATTTTGTGTTTAATTATTCATACATTATCAATAAAAAATTTATAATTGTCAAAATAAGTTTATAATTTGATACATAAATTACATATTATAATTTTATCTAAATTTAAATAATGATATAAATAAGATTGTATTTTTAAATAAATATTATACAAAGAATACGATAAAATATATTTTGTGAAAATAATATTTATAAATGAATAATTTTTTTTTATGATTTATATATTACAATAAATATCATATAAAATATGATAAAATATACACATAATACATGTTGTTTTCTCTAAAAAATTAAAAAAATATATATTTATTAGTAAGATTTTATAATATAATACGATTTTATTTGGTTTGGTTTGGTTTGTAAAATACAAATCGCAAATTAAACTGAATCGTACGGTTCCGTTAGAAAATGATCCAAACACATTCAAATTAAATGTAATTTTTTACAATTTCGATTTGGTTCAATTTGATTTTGTGATTTTTTATTGGACCAGTTTGATCTTAAAGACCCCTAGTAAATACACCATTTTCCGAAAACAAAATGAATAAAGCTAAATACCCACTTTGCCCTTGAATCATCGCATATCAGAAACGCAGGCTCGAGTCGCAGCACTGAGCTCAACCGCCCACAAACGCCGCCGGGGTATTCCGTCAGCCGTAAGAAACACCGTCAAAATCGTCTAGAAGGTTTTTCTTCTTTTCTGTTGTTCGAATTTTCCTTCCCATCTTCTGTCACAATTGATAACATAGCTCTTACTGTATGAGTTTCTGATCTGAATTCATTGTTTTTACTTTATCTTGTGATTAATTCTTCTTCATGATGATCATAGAAGAAAAAGATAATTTTTTTGCAATTACATTAACTCAATTTAATCTTCTCTGTTTGTGATTAATGCTCTTGAATGATAATGCTTTTAGGTTTTGTTTGGATTTTGCATAAAATTAGCTTATGCAATAAGTGCTTAATTGAGTTTTATTATGTTCACAAATTTAATGTGTGGGTTATCTGATATAAGATTAATTGCTTTTCTTGTATGCTGATAGTTTTAGTTTAGTTGGTTTCATTGGTGTAGGTTATAAGGAAGACTAAGGGAATTCATGGCAGGCAGTGGCCTGCCTTCTTTGGGACGTGTGAAGCTCGCTGATTTAGTTCCTTCGGACGGGTTACCGTCTGACTCGTATAAAATTTCAGTTTCGATTTTGTCGCAATCGCTAGCTCAATTTTCAGCTGTGATTATTCAGTTTCCGTCAACGGATGGTGCTCTTTTAAGATCGGGTTTAGAATCGGCTCGTTTGTATTTCCATCAAAGAGAAACGTATCCGCCTGCAGATATAATCCATTCTAGCGAGTCGCATGATTGGTGTAAAACTTCCGGTTACTATGCAGATCCTCATTTGTGGCAAGAAACATATGATTATAGACCGGGTTTAACTCCTTTGGAACCGAGTAACTCGATTGAGTTGCCTCCAGCTGGTTTGTCGGATATGTTTTCTTTATTTGGAAAAGCAGCAAGGGATATTCTGGATGCAATTAGCTTCCATTTGAATTTACGCAGTTCTCCGTTTGTAGAAATATTGGATAATGTTCCCTTGAGAAATCGGGAAATTTCATCTTCGGTTTTGTCTGTTTGCTGTCATGCTAGGCCTTCCTTTCAAGGGCCGCAACATCATAATATAGCTGCTTCTCAAGAGGATGGTCAATTGCTTATGTATCCTGATCATGATCATCAGGTTGATAAAAGCTTGATATCTCTTGTTAAGTCGGACAGAGCGGGTTTACATGTTAAAGACTATCAAGGTCGGTGGATTCTTGTGGACGGTGATTTGGGGCCTCAAGAGGCTATTGTTTATCCCGGGCTTGCTCTTTATCAAGCAACAGCGGGATATGTTAACCCTGCACTGCACAAAACTGAGATCAATATGGAGGATAACATGTATGGGAGGTGCTCTTTAGGGTTCAAACTTTTTCCTAAATCAATGACTAGTCTTGATTGTTCGGAAATGAGAACGGCCGGTTACGGAATTGAAACTCAGTTTCAGCTTCCTGTTCCTGTTGATGATTTTATGCAACGATCTCATCCAACTGACCACCTTTTTAATAGGCCTGCTTTTCAATGCTTCAATTTCCAACCAACACATGACGGTATGTATATTATAGTTATAATTACGATTATACTAGGAATCTGATTCATTATTGTCGGTCAAATATTCTTCAAAACTGCATTGAAAAACTTACTTAATTTTGAAAAATGTCCATGTAGGTTCCCAATTGCTATAGGCTTTCTAGAGTTTCGATGAAAATAAAATTTGGAAACAGTTATCATTTCAAACTGTTACAATCTTCCCATGTTCAAACGAGATTAGCTTGTCATTTCCTGATATTCCTAAATTTAAACTTAAATGCCTGTAATTGGTAATTTTTGAAAAATTTTCCCCATAGTTTGACACTATTGATGCTGTAGTGGTGTCAGTTGTACTTTGAGAGTAGCCCTTAGTGGAAAGTTTTTAACTTCAGGTCCTTGGATCGATGAAATGCTGGTACAGGATCTATGAAAACTTTGATACGGAGGAGGAAGCAAAATCCTAAAAGCAAGCCTCTGCCACCTTCCAAGAGGTTAAGGCTCGAGGCGCAGAGAGTTTTGAAAGAAAGAGTCCAAGACATTGCAGATAAGAAAGGCATCAAGCTGCGCTTCTGTAATATCAAAGAATGTGAAAGTCACTTTCACACCCTAGACAGCCCGTGTGCAAATATACGAATGGAGATAGGATGGCCACCTGGAGTACCATTTGTCCATCCCCATGATTTGCCCAATAAGGCAAAGCTGGGATTTCTTGAAGCATATGAACCTGGTTGGACAGAAGCGCATCAAAACATAGACAGGCTAGTCAACACTCTGATATCTTTAACTGTAACTATTCTATTTTGTTTTTGTATGGTTGTCAACTCCTATAATTGTGGTATTAATAGTTAATGTACATATCACGGTGTTTGCAGGAATCAGTCCCCCTAGTATCCAACATATGGACAACAGGTGATCAAGTTGTGAAGGTTTTCTGAGGATAGGCTTATTGTTCTCTGTTGGCCTCTGAACCTATTTATCGCAGGTTTTAGAGTTTGTGCCCGCGTTATACATGCCATCGTGCAGCTTTTTAAACAGATGAAAGATAGTCAGTTGCGGCATTGAATTCTGTTATATGGTGTTTTAGAACCTCTTAGGATTATGAGACGATCCAATCAAAATGAAGCATATAGACTCAGCTGGACTTGAATGCTCGTGCCGACGGGGGTCTTACTGTCCAGATCCAGAATCTATAAAATGATGAGAAAACAACAACCGGTTTGAGAATAATTATGAGCTAAATCATCTATTATTGCCTGGACGAATGCTATGACTGTTATCAAGTCTCTGCAGCATGTTTAAATGTAAACAACCTTTTGTCCTGAGTTATGTCAAGTAGAAACAAACTTATTCAATTTGTGTGAATACCTGTATTTTGAAACAATGCTATGTGAAAATGTGGCTTCATATGTTTTCTTATGCTGTGTAACTATTTTTGTGAAGAAAAAAAATGCTATGTAGTCTTTGTTGCTCTGAAATTTGGTCAAAAATGATTTTCTTGTCAAAGAAATACTTCCTAATTATTCTCATTTATGTTTAAGACAGAAAAATTAGTGTGCTAGGTGCAAAATGGAATTTGTGGCAGGAAACTAAGCAAGTTTAGTTTCTGGGTTAAGTTGACTAGCCATTTCAGAGAAGTAACGTAAAATTGTAATGGTGATTCAAAATTAAGGGTACAGTTTTTTATAACTTCATAATTTGTTTTACACAATTATTTAACCAAAAGATCTATGGTTAAAATTTAAAAAATTATTGAGGTATATGGTGGACCATCAACAATGTTATATATCTAAAAAATTAATATCTAAGAGATTAAGTTGATTAATTGAAGTGAAATTACCAAACTTCAGACAAACCAAATTGGTTTGTTTGTGGAAAAGTGAGAGTCATTTCACCATTGTTTTTCTACCAAATATTGAACCAGCTGAAAACAAATTTTAGAGAAGAATAAAAATTGCAATCTATACCACATAAATATAGATAAATTCACAGAATCACTTGATGAATACAAACAATTCTGATCTACTTTTCTAGTTTACTACTCCTTTCCCTAATTCCATCTATAGTACAATTTTAACAGAGAAACTGAATGCATTGAATCAATTGATAACTGTCATTTTCTTTTCTGCAATAGAACGAGCCTCCACTCACACCCGAGCAAAACCTCGTGCCGATAAGTGTATTGAATTGTTTACGTTGTGTTCGTGTAAACAAATCAAAATTGGCGGCGATTATTGGCCTTCTCAAAGCTAACAATTAATCAACTTTCTGCATCATCATCTAACAAATCAAAGGCTCCTCTCTCGCTCGGAAATGGTGATTGGTTTTCGAAAGGCAGCTCTACTGCTGTTGCGTTAGCATAAAACTCTTCCAAGTTATAGAAAGCTCTTTGTGGAGGAAGAAATAGATGGACAACAACATCACCTATGGGTGACCAAGAAAAATCAAAAGGAAAACCTGGTTAAGACAGTACTCAAAAACACGGCTACCGAATGTTATGGATATCAAAGCACGAGTCACAGACCAGGACTATGATTCGACGAGGATACAAACATGGACACGACTACAATACATCGCAAATTTTACAATCACTTACCAAAGTCCAACAGGGTCCATGAGTTAGGTTTCGAGTCTCCATTTGGAATTTTACCATATTTCTTTTCAGCTCGATCTCTAATTCTAGACCTAAAATTCAATATAAATGTAATCAAACATATATCCTTCTTTTCAAAAACAAAATAAAAACCTCAAGCATTACCAAATAAACATAAAAAGATCAATGGCAGGTTCCATTCCATACCCGATAGCATCAATTTGGGGACGAGAAAATGCTGTAGCTATGATAAAAAATCGAGTCCAGTAAACAAGCGGCTTCACAAACAAGACCTTTATATCCCCCGCTTTAACCTCACTCGCAACCGTGGCCATTTCCACAGCAACTAGATCGACAACATTTAACACTCAACCATTAGACCATAATCGATACACAAAAGTATAATTCTTATCTCTTTCTCTCTGAAGTAGATTCATATAAACAGAAACTATAAGCAAAATAACTAACAAAACTTTTTATCGGCTTACATGATAGGCTTTCGGAGTCATCGTCGATCTCTTCACTCGCAGGCTTTTGATCTGTTTTCTTATATACTACTTTTCCATAATTATTCAATAATTCATCATACATATCATCGGTATCTTCACCTACATCCTGAAAATCATATGATTTGTTACTTATGCACCCTTAACGAGAATCGTCAATCACACGGACACATTGACACCGATAATAATTTAGTGAAAATATAATCACAATCATATATGCTTCATATAAACTATGCCTTAAATATTCTATTAAAGCATGCTTTCAAAATTCTTCACTTTCCATGGAAGACAAAATCTAAACTGAAAACACATAATTTACATTTGAAAAAAAAAACTTCTTCAACAGTATGAAATTGTTGTACCGAGAAGAAATTATCTTTGGCTTCTTTGCCGAATGCAAAGGTCAAAATTGAGTTGCGTCTCTTCAAATTCAAACCATTGATGCTGTACCGTTGTAAAGGAAGCACCTTTTTGCGGAAAATCTTTGTGGGTTTGGGAGAGGAGTTGGTTTGGGGATGACCCATTTGGCCGGGAAAGGAGGCCGGTCCGGCGGGTCCGGCGAGTGATAGGAGAGTGGAAGACGGTAGCATTTTGTAGCGGCAAAAGAAAAGATATTTACGAAACTAAAAGATAGCGAAATGAAATCAGAAAATGGATTGAAGTATTATTATTTTCACTTTTTTGGTATTTCCTTTTAAAAATTGTTTTCTTTCTTTTGTCTAAAGAATTTAATAAGGAATTTTTTTTAAATAACTACTTTTTTAAAAAAAAATTTAAATAATCACATTTTCAAAAAATTTATCAAAATATTCACTTTTTAAATAAAAAAAATTTGTTACACAGAGGAGACGTCACTATGTGTGGCGCATGCATACAAATTAAAGAGGAGGAATCACACTGAATGGTTTGTCCTCCTCTGTAAAGCCATGCAGTGTGGTGCATGCATGCAATATTAGAAAGGAGGTGTCACCTAGTGTGACTTAAGAGTTGTATATGTTTTTTTTTATAAATGCAACCACTTATCTTCTTTATTTTTTCACACAATTTCTCACATCACACTTAGAAAATGTCTTCCACTCCCTTGCCAAGGTTTTCACTGATCAAAAGAGATGCGCATAATATTTTTCGGCGACAAAGCTTTCGATGAAGATCAAACTCTGGAACACGCATACATTCGAGCATTTTCAGAGGCACTTGATTCGCTGGTTGGAAGGAGACATTCTTGAAGGTGAATAAATCATAAAAATAGAAAGGAAAATTACAACGAGGAACGAAAATGGAGTAAGCCGATCATGGAAAAAAGTGAGACGCGACGCTGATGTCATGATGATGATGCTTGGATCAGACGATATTGTGTTGATGATTTTCATCTCTTAGATATTATGATGTGTTTAGTTGTTTTGTCTGCTTATCATGTTGTTGTGTTGTTGTCCTGAGTTTGTGGTATTGTAATTTTTCGGGTCATTATGCAAAGGTTGTTGTAATCGAATGATAAATTGAACACGAAATAAAAACCCGAATTTAAATTGAAATTTCTTCCGTACAACAAATTAATTACTCTGAAAAGTTTGCTATAAAAAAATTAAGTTGCAGAGCTAGACCCAATATTCAGACAATTTTTTCGATTGCGTCCGGGAAGATGACATGTACAACATAATCTTATCATTTTGTTGGTCATATCCATTTCAGTTCTAATATGAGTGCTATTGGGGCGCCCCTTTTTCTTCCGTCGCATTTGTTCATTGTGTCAAATGTAACACCCCACTTTCCCATATAAATAACTATAATATAATATATGAAAATATATCAGAATACACAAGTAGGATGTCACATCTTCAAAAATTCATAACATTTCAAATCAATTTATCACTTTATTTCTCATAAAAGAATCATTTACACAACGGAAATATCCAATTATTCATTTTCATAACACCACGGCTTTAATAACAACATTCTCCACAAAATCCGTGGTTCAACATAAGCTTGAATTAAGATACGTAACAATAAAATAATGTAAAAACATAGCAAGTTTCTAAATCCCGTGTTACGTATCAGAGCAAGACCTACTCTATCCAAAAGCAACACACTAAAGACTCCAAGCTATCCTCACGCTTCTACGAACTATTCTCAGTCACCTACACGTTGCGTTATCCACGTGGATGCAACATTAAAACAGAAAGGGTGAGTAATCACAATTCATTATAAAAGATATAAGGAAAAGATATAGCAGTTATAAACAAAACCAATCATGAAATATGTACATAATCATTTGTCAAGTATTATACTCACACCTTTGTATCATAATAACATATGCACATCTTCATCATAAATCATCAAAAACACATTCTTCATCCATACAGCACGATATCAAATCAAGGCAGTGCAATGCAATGCAACCGACAATAACTAAATGCATGTGGTACCAAAAGGTCATAAGCCCCAAACATAGTGCCAATTGGGCAACACCATAGCATAAGCCCTCAACACAACACCATTCTAGGCCAACAACAAAGCATAAACCCTCACCAATGAATACATGCAACATCAACATGCAACAACATAATTTATACAACCGCAAGGCATAAGCCTTCGACACTATGCCAATTTAGGCCATCAACATCATTATCACCATATCATCATCAAAACAATCATATCATGATCACAACATCATTATCATCATATCATCATGACATCATATCACCATAAAAAACAATTATATCATCATCACAACATCATTATCATCAACTAATCATCATAGTATCCAAGCATCATTATAACATACAACCCATCACCATGTCCTCATATTATATAAGGTATCATTATTATTATCTTCTAATCATCTTTTATAAACCATCATTATCATAATCCAACACGGAGAACCTAACTTCATTCTAATCTAGATATTGGCGATATACTTCCTATTCTTCATTTTACTACCCCTAAATAAAGTTTATTGTGTTAGCTATCCAATACTTCGAATGACACCTCAAACCGAGTTCTAAAACTCAAGTTACGACTCTTCTAAGAAAGTCTAAATCAGCATCTCAATTCCGGACACCATCGGCCGACGAAGACTCTTGCTCACCCGACGAAACTCCTTTCGCTCCTACATCGACTGGAGAAGGTGCGAGCGAAGCACTCCAGTAGCCATTCTCTTCTGTGCCTTCCATCGCCTCCTACTTTTTCGTGGCGGCGGCCTAGAAAATTTTCATCGCCCGACGACGCCTCCTTCATCGCCCGACGATGCACACTAGAAAACAATTACCTATTGAGATCCTGCACCCGGTCAGTCCCTAATTCTCTTGCGATCTTACACCAAAACAATCACAATCCTCATAGTTTTTAACATAGAATCACTATACAACAACTACACAATATTATAAACATTATATATACCAGCTCATGGCAATTCAACATAGTACTTTCATCAATTTCAACACGAGTTCTTCACAACACAACATATCACCAAAACCATCATAAAATTATCACAATAATATATATTATATTTGCACACACATATCATCAAATTATCATCATGAATCACATCATTTACGTCATAAAAACATCATTAACAAATAACCACGGTAAAACATCATAATCAACACCATGTTTATCATTAAAATAACACATCATGGTATAACAACATATAATAAATCAATCTAATAAACATATAGATATTGGAATCATTCATCAAAACACTCATGTGATTCAATCTTAATATAGTACATCATGTTAGCTCTCTAGCGCTTCGAACATTGTGTGTAAAACGGACTCCCGAAACTCAAGTTACGATGTTTTAAAGATTTATGCCGCATCACTTCTGTCATCCGTCGCCCGGCGCAGCCTTTGCGTCACCCGATGATGCTTGAATCGCCTTTGCGTCTCCTCTGCATCTCCCGATGATGCTAACCAGACAAGACTTTTCCTCCCTGCGATTTTCCATGGTTGGAGGCCTTCCGGACCTCCGAATTTGATTCCGTAAAAAGTCTAGGTTTCAGAATTCAAAATCTTATGATTATACAATATTCTTAACAGCCTGTAGCACTTATTTAAAGGTCTCAACATCACACATTTATCAAGGATTAATTCATTCATTCATTCAACACATGTTTTTTCCCCGATTTCATTAATCCTCATCAAAATCAACACACACAACACAACCTACCAACACTTTAACCCGATATAAATTATAATAAACGCGATTAAACCCCTTATAAATTGTTGCTAGCAATCGAATCCTCTTTGTGCTCTACCGAAACTCCTATGCTCCTTCTTGTCTCTTTGTGCCCTAGCTCTGCCTCTGCCCTTTTCTCCCAAAAACTATCGTACAGAATGAGCGATCAAAATTCTCAAACCTTCCTTATACCAAACTTAACCTTTAGACCCTTAATACTGGTCTTCCCATCATGTCCTCACTTATTCCACATTACTTTACCATTTAGCCCTTCTTGTTTCTACACCATAATTTCCTTTATAATAATAATTCTAAATATTATTATTAAATTCAATAAATCCCAAATAATTATTTAAATTCTAAATAATTATAAACTAATCAAATACTCCTCATACATTATTATTCCAACACTGCCCCACAACATACCATCACCAAACACCGTGACGCATAATATAAATCATAATAATTCCCAAATAATCACAAATAACTAATTAAATAATTGATTATGATTTTTTGGGTGTTACAACTCTCCCCCACTTAAATTATTTTTGTCCTCGAAAATTTACTTGATGTACACAACTCTTGATACGACTCTCGCATATTCCTCTCCAACTCCCGTATCACGTTTGGCAACATTTCGATTATCACTAATCAACACTCCACGTTGTTAACCATAATAGTCTAACAATATGTAACACTGCCGAGTTATGAACGTATAGGTTCATTCACTCCATGTCCCATCATCCTAGGATCTTGTCCACTCTTGAACATGAGCTACTCGAACTCTAACCCCCGACAACGAGGTAACAGCATAATTTAAGAACATAGAGTTTCAGAAAAAGAACATTGTTTCTATTATTTCATCACACAACAACACTGTCATAAGAACATCAATATAACCATAACATTGGTAACATTGGCACACAAGATTAGTACGACAATGCTACAATTTATCAATTGAACATGTAACTCGATACATCTATTGACATGGTGGTGAATCGAATAATATATAAACCTATAACTTATCACTTCCATTCTAGATTGCCCAATGGTTTGCATCATTCCCTTAAGCTTCCGATGTTTAATCCTTAACTCATAACAAGTGACACCCGCATAACGAACTGCACCATATCATGCTTCAGTTGCGCTACTCTGATTATCTACCTTAAAGTCATTGTCCTTATTTCAATTTCCATCAATAATCAGATCCACATGTTTCACCTGTAACCTATGACTCTCTTTAATATCCACTAGAAAATCATTGTTCACTTTGATAACCTCAACTTTCCACCTTGCGATGTTAGATTGCATACAACCTCAAGTCTCTGAACTGTTCAATAAGTCTCAACTCTTTCAAAGTCACTTATTCATTAGGTTCACCTGAAATGATGAGCGAATATCCTCTTGATAGAACGT